TCGGAAATTTAAACTTTGTAAGTAACTATTGCGAAAAAGTTTCATTTGAGTAGAGAAGACTTTAAAGTTTGTGTTTACTTTTACATAATATTCAAAATGAAGAAGGAAACTAGGCACAATAAAAAAAACTAATAATAATTGGTGGAATAATAAAAAACTTTATTAGATAGAGAATCTTTCAAAATTTCAAAATTTGCAATTATTTTTCGTGTTACACGCAATAAAAATGTATTTTCATATGTCAAATTGTCAAAAGGAGCCGTAAAAGTAACTATAATTTATTTCTGTAATACAGAGCATTTTTTAAAAATTGTTAACAATAGTTAACAAGAAAAATTTTTACTTGGTACAGCTGTTCAAACCCTTAGAGGTTGATTGGAATTGGTTTCTATTTTAACAGTATATTTATAAGAAAGAAGAGAATTGTGGAGAATATTGATTTTTCCGAAAAAATTCAAAACATTTCGGGGATTTCAAATTTCTATAAACAATTCAAAAAATAATCTTTGGAAGATTTAAAATAAAAATAACGAAAATGAAGTTTTTTAATGTGAAATTGTCAATCAACGTAATTAAAAAAGCCTTTGTAATCTAGAGCATTTTTCAGGAATTGTTAAAGATCTTAATGCGAGAAAGAATTTTCAGTTTGGCAGAGAAAATGTTAAAATTTGTATTTATTTTTACAATATATTTTAAATGAAGAAGGAAACTGTGGAAAATATTAATTTTCTAGAAAACTTTGAAATCATTAAAACCGGTAATATTTGACAAAAAAAGAAACTGTGGAAAACATTAATTTTCCAGAAATAATTGAAATCACAAATCCGACAGTATTTGTGTGCAAAAAACTCTATTATAGAGAATATTTTGGAGATTTCAGATTTCTGGTCTTTCTTACAAAAGATGTTGAAATAAGAGAAACAATAAAAAAATAAACAAACAAATAATTTGCAGAATTAAAAAATTACTTCGTATTTTTAAAAGTGACTACAATTTTGAGAAAAATTGTTTTTATTACATAGAGAATCTTTCGGAAATTTAAACTTTGTAAGTAACTATTGTGAAAACAGTATATTCAAAATGAAAAAGGAAACTGAACACAATAAAAAAACAAATAATAATAATTGGTAGAATAAAAAAAACAATTAAAAGTGATTTTATTACATAGAGAATCTTTCAAAATTTTAAAATTTGCAATTATTTTTCGTGTTTCATGCAATAAAAATGTATTTTCGTATGTGAAATTGTCAAAAGGAGCCACAAAAGTAACTATAATTTATTTCTGTAATATAGAGCAGTTTTTAAAAATTGTTAACAATTGTTAACAAGAAAGATTTTTACTTGGTAGAGCTGTTTAAACCCTTAAAAGTTGTTTCTATTTTAGCAGTATATTATAACAAAGAAGAAAACTGGAGAATAATGATTTCTCAGAAAAAATTCAAGGCGTTTCGGGGATTTCAAATTTGTATAAACAATTCAAAAACTGATCTTTGGAAGATTTAAAATTTTTAATTTTTCTGATTATAAAGGCTTTATGAAATAAAAATAACGAAAATGAAGTTTTTTTTAATGTGAATGAATAAAAGTAATTAAAGTAGCCAAGTTGCCATAATTTTTTTTCTGTAATATAGAGTATTTTTAAAAAATTGTTAACAATATGGATTTTCGAAAAAAAAATTCTGATTTATAGAGCTTTTCAAAACTTTAAGCTTAAAATTGTGTCTGTTTTTACAGATTATTTATAACAAAGAAACTGTGGAAAAGATTAATTTTCAGTAAATAATTAAAATCACTAAATCCGACAATATTTGTGTGGAAAAAAGTCTATTTTAGAGAATATATCGGAGATTTCAGATTTGTGGTCCTTCTTACAAAAGATCTTGAAATACGAGAACCAATAAAAAAATAAACAAATAATTTGCAGAACTAAAAAAAACAATAAAGTAGAATTTATTTTTTACTTCATATTTTAAAAGTGACTACAATTTTGAGAAAAATTATTTTTATTACATAGAGAATCTTTCAGAAATTTAAACTTTGTAAGTAACTATTGCGAAAAAAGTTTCATTTGGATAGAGAAGGCTTTAAAGTTTGTGTTTACTTCAATATGTATATTCAAAAAGAAGAAGGAAACTGAACACAATAAAAAAGTAAATGATAATTGTAAGAATAATAAAAAATTTAAAAGTGATTTTATTAGATAGAGAATCTTTCAAATTTTAAAATTTGCAATTCTTGTGTTTCATGAAATAAAAAAGTATTTTCCTATGTGAAAGTGTTAAAAGGAGTCGAAAAAGCAACTATAATTTATTTCTGTAATATAGAGCATTTTTTTTAAATTGTTAACAATTGTTAACAAGAAAAATTTTTACTTGGTAGAGCTGTTTAAACCCTTAAAAGTTGTTTCTATTTTAGCAGTATATTTATAACAAAGAAGGAAACTGTGGAGAATAATGATTTTTCAGAAAAAATTCAAAGCGTTTCGAGGATTTCAAATTTGTATAAACAATTCAAAAACTGATCTTTGGAAGATTTAAAATTTTTAATTTTTCTGATTATAAAGGCTTTATGAAATAAAAATAACGAAAATGAAGTTTTTTTTTTAATGTGAAATTGTCGATAAAAGTAATTAAAGTAGCTAAGTTGCCATAATTTTTTTTCTGTAATGTAGAGTATTTTTAAAAAATTGTTAACAATATGGATTTTCGAAAAAAAATTCTGATTTATAGAGCTTTTCAAAACTTTAAGCTTAAAATTGTGTCTGTTTTTACAGATTATTTACAACAAAGAAACTGTAGAAAAGATTAATTTTCAGTAAATAATTAAAATCACTAAATCCGACAATATTTGTGTGGAAAAAACTCTATTTTAGAGAATATATCGGAGATTTCAGATTTGTGGTTCTTCTTACAAAAGATCTTGAAATACGAGAACCAATAAAAAAATAAACAAATAGTCTGCAGAACTAAAAAAAACAATAAAGTAGAATTTATTTTTTACTTCATATTTTTAAAAGTGACTACAATTTTGAGAAAAATTATTTTTATTACATAGAGAATCTTTCAGAAATTTAAACTTTGTAAGTAACTATTGCGAAAAAAGTTTCATTTGGATAGAGAAGGCTCTAAAGTTTGTGTTTACTTCAATATGTATATTCAAAAAGAAGAAGGAGACTGAACACAATAAAAAAGTAAATGATAATTGTTAGAATAATAAAAAATTTAAAAGTGATTTTATTAGATAGAGAATCTTTCAAATTTTAAAATTTGCTATTCTTTCTCGTGTTTCATGAAATAAAAAAGTATTTTCCTATGTGAAAGTGTTAAAAGGAGCCGAAAAAGCAACTATAATTTATTTCTGTAATATAGAGCATTTTTTTTAAATTGTTAACAATTGTTAACAAGAAAAATTTTTACTTGGTAGAGCTATTTAAACCCTCAAAAGTTGTTTCAATTTTAGCAGTATATTTATAACAAAGAAGAAAACTGTGGAGAATATTGATTTTTCAGAAAAAATTCGAAGCATTTCGGGGATTTCAAATTTGTATAAACAATTAAAAAAATAACCTTTGGAAGAATTATTTTTTTTAATTTTTCTGATTATAAAGGCTTTATGAAATAAAAACAACGAAAATGAAGTTTTTTTAATTTAAAATTGTCGATGAAAGTAATTAAAAGGCTTTTGTAATATAGAGCATTTTTCAAAAATTTTTAAAGATATTAATGCGAGAAACAAGCTTCAGTTTGGTAGAGAAAATTTTAAAATTTGTATTTATTTTGACAGTATATTTAAAATGAAGTAAGAAACTGCCGAAAATATTAAGTTTGTAGAAATATTTGAAACAATTAAAAATTGCAGCATTTGTGTAAAAAAATTCTCTGAGATAGAAAATGCTTCAGAGATTTAAAATTTGTGGTTAGTCTTGCAATTCACCTTGAAATAAGGAAAATAGTGCAAAAGATAACTAAATAAAAAAATTTGGAAGATAAACCAAAAAAAATTTAGAAAATGTTTCATAGTATTTTTTTAAGTGACAAAGAAAATTGTTCACAAAAAAATTCAGCACATTTTAAATTTGCAATTGTCCTGGTATAAATGCTACATAAAGAGAAATAACGAAAGAAAATGTAGTATTTTAATGTGAAGTCGTCAAAAGTATTCATAAAAGGGCATAATAAAAATCTTCTGTGTAATATAGAGCATATTTCAGAGATTAAATTCTTGAAAAACAGAGTTTTCTTAATGTGAAATTATGGATAAAGCAAATAAAAAGCTTTTGTAATGTAGAGCATTTTTCAAAAAATGTTAAAAGCGGTAACTATTGAGAAAAAAAGTTTCAGTTTTGTAAAGAAGCTTTAAAGTTTGTGTTTATTTTTTGAATATATTTAAAATGAATCAGGAAACTGTGGAAATTATTAATTTTCTAGAAATAAAATATACTAAATTTGTAAAATAAACAAAAAAATGTGTACATTATGTTCTTTTAATTTTTTTTAAAATAACCATAATTCTGAGAAAAATTGTTCTTCTGGAGATTTAATAAGTAGTTTAATTATTTTCATATAAATGCTTCTGGCATAGAAATAGCGAAAAAAAAACGTGGTGTTTTAATTTGAAATCGTCAAAAATATCCTTAAACTAGTAAAAAAATATTATGTATAATATAGAGCATATTTTAAAAGATTCAAAATTTGTAGTTATTCTGGACCTATTTTTGAATTTGAACTTATTAAAAGTGATTCAGTGTTTCTTTTTGCGAATGTCAAGCTAGTATCGGTAAAAAATCGTCAAATAAACGAGACAAAAAAGCAGTATTTTTAAGAACCTACGAAGCAGGTAAACAATTAGTTTGGTAGCTCGACGTTTTATTAGATTTTGAGTTTGTAGTTATTTTCGAGTAAAAACGAACCGGTAGAATGGAACTGAAATGTTAAAAAGTGGTTATCTATGAATCCACGTTTTTCGACTCAAATATTTTGTGGTAAAACCATATTTTTCAGTTATCCTCGGCGACGATCAAGAAAAATCATCGGAAGAAGCCATCAGCAAAAGTCGCCACTCCGTCGTTAATAATTCTGGTAAAGCGACGACAAAACAGCGTAGATCTCGTACAAATTTTACTTTAGAACAACTCAATGAGCTGGAACGACTGTTTGATGAAACGCATTATCCTGATGCATTCATGAGGGAAGAGCTTAGCCAGAGGCTGGGTCTGAGCGAAGCTCGAGTGCAGGTAATTTTCTCCACCGTGTGACATATCATTTCTTCAGCATGCAGGAGCTAGAGAACCGGATAGATTTGAAATTTAAAGCTTCCGCGACCTGATGGCGTGATCTTAGCTCGCGTAAACAACAAGTAGAAACGTTTTAAATACGGTAAGAGTGGGTTGTAGGCGGCAATCGTCCTTTACATTGTTAGGTGTTTGAAACGTTTCTACGGTGATTTTTTGTTTGATTTTTTTACTTCTTGGTACCAAAATAGGTCGTTTCGTAATGGCAACAGATCGGCACAATCAGCGCCGATTCGTGCTTAAAGAGTGCTTGCGAAACGATCAATTTATTAAGTGGTTTGTTTGATCGGAGGGTCGAAGTGGCCGAATCGTTGGATCCGATCAGTTAGCTGGTCTCCAGAATTCTCTTTCTCCTCGGTGTTATCAATCAGTCCTAATACTCCCCTAAAGTCGTTAATCTAGCACTTAATTGATGCGATTTCCATTCCCTACACATCATACGTATTCATTAGGAAATTATCTGCTAATAGTGGCATTAGTCTGAGTAAATCGTGTGGAACCAATGTCACATTAGAAAAACACTCAGTCGGACGGTCAAACAAGGGCTAATGGAATAGACCCATGCTTTCTTTACTGACCGTTTTACGCCATTTTTATTTATGGAGACATTTCCGATTACGCTCTCGACACAAATTTACTGGATTTGCCCGCTCCGGATGCTAACGACATAATCTGATTTGTTTTAGGTGTGGTTCCAAAATAGGAGGGCTAAGTGCAGGAAGCATGAAAGTCAGATCCAAAAAGGTAAACATTTTTTTTTTCATAAAAATATATTTTGGTCTCATGTTGAACAAGCATAGCAGGATTTAATAACTTTTTGTGTGATTCCCACGTGTATTTTGTGAAAGCAAACAGAATTTTTTCGCATGACCTCTGTTTGGAAAAGCGAAACCTTTAAAAAATCGCACGGTTCCAAATCTCTTCCGCGAACGTATCAGGCTGGATCTCGGTGGAGAAAAGCGGTAAATATGTAAGGAAGGTTTGCGGAGAGCAATGAATTTGAGTCAAGATTTGTGCTCGTAGTAGGGAGTGAGATATGTGCGTACGCGTCCACGTTGTAGTGGATAAATAGGTAATATTTGGAGCTGGAGCTGATACTTCGAGGAGTTAGCGCCAGCTTAACCCCTATTTGCAAATGTAATTTTATGAAACGCGGCCGGTCCAGAGCGGGGCCAAGAGCTACGTCGCGACAGTGGCGTGCGAAAATCTTAGTTTTATCCCCTAGTGACAAAAACAACAACTCCTAAATTGGCGTCCCGTGTAATTCCAGTCTGAATAGTTATAACATAATTCAAACTAATTCAACAGATTGTCTGTTTTGCCCTGTGTTTGCCTTAGGGTCCGTCAAGAGTTTTTGAAGAAAAGTTTTATGTTTATCCTGTAGATCGTAATAAAACTCAAGTTACTTGGATTAATTTCACTGCTAACAAAGTAAAAACAGTCATTAAGCAGACATAAGACCGTGAATATCGTTATGAGTGTCACGAATTTCGCCTAAAATATGTAGGTACAACAAGGTGTGGGTTTGACAGTTGTCGGGTCTTCTTTCCCCACAGATACTAGAAGCAGTAGTATTGTTGCGGAGACGCCGTTTTTTTTGTAAATTTAAGCAAATTTCCGCTGCGCCACTGAGTCGCAGGCCCAGGCCGCGGGAGGGGGGGCGGGGGGTGTTGATGTGAGCGCGAGGCAGTAAGTGTAATTTACCGGCCCCAGGGGTTCGTCCTCCTCGCTGGACCAGTCATCTTGCGCCCGGCATTTGAATGACTGAGCGCCGGAAAATTGCTCTCCCGGGGAATTATTTCATTTGATTGAAAACTTTCTCTTAGCGTATTTTTTTAGCGCAGTCTTGTATATAAATTCGATTATGTACCGCAGATTTGTTAGGGGACATAAGCCCATGATATATTCATGGCTGGCTAGAATTATGAGGGTCGAGTCTTGGTTTAAAGATGATTTCAGTAACAAATTGCTGCCTCTTCTAAATTATTTAATGCTCTAACTTGAATTTATCGTACTATAATTCTGACGGAATTTACACGCTGCCTCGAATTAACGTCTGCCCATTATTATCACTATATCCGCTTCGCACAACCGTTATAAAATATGACAACAATCTACTGCGGCATACGTTCGAAACCGTGAATAAATTATCGCGCTTGATCAAAATTGCAAAAGTTTACAACAGGCCGAGGGACTCGAAGCAAAATTCCGGAACGCTGACGCCGTAATCAGCTTTTTCGTTAGTCGCGCCTGTGTTTAATAAGTTTTTCAAATGACGTCATCAGCTTCTGGGAGGGGACGAACAAATAAATTTTACTTACGGAGACATAGGATTTGATTTACGTAAACTGACGGCCCTGCCTGACTTACAAACTTTTTTTCAATATCGTTGGTCCTAACGCTGGTTCTGTTATGGTTTTACAAACATATTGAAATCACAAAGATAAAGGATAATCACTTTATTAGTTTTGGTTTTCCCGGTTCCGTTTTACCTATAGTGGAAATTCTGATATTCTTCAGAATTCCATTTATTTTTCTTCTTTTCGCTTGCCGGTACTAATGACACATTCTTTTAGTAACTTGGCTCGAAAAAAAGACAAAAAGTCCAAGCTTCTGAGTTAGTTTTACCCAGTGGGCTATCTAAACTGACATGGCCTGACCCGAGTTGATCTAACCTGACTAGACCTGAGCTGACCTGACCTGACCTGACCTGACCTGATCGGACCTTCTTTTCTGGAGGGAGGGGAAACCTGCTGGGGTAACCACTAAAACTCTTCCAGGCTCAGTGGGGACTACGCCTAGGGACTGCGCATGAATTCCGGCCTTCCTATGCCTTGGGCCGTTTCCTTGTTCGTCTCTTCTCCTTTTCTCTTTCTTCTTCTTCTTTTGTCTTCATTATCTCCTTATCATTCCACATATTTCTTCAGTTTTTTGAGTTTTCCATCATGGTTTGCACCATGTTTTCGGGACAAATATTGCTTGTTATCTTTAATTTTGCACCCTCCCATCTCGTACATTCGAACATATATTCTGGTTCCTCACAATAGTCCCGTTTGTCATCCTCCCCCCGTTTGAATTTTTTCAAGTATGTTCAGAAAGATCCAAGCCTTGTTAGCACCTAGCTGGGGTGATACTCCACTTCTCCATGGTTTCTTCCATACGATCTCCTCATGTCAGGGATCAGTTGTCTCGTCCAAGCTTCTTTAGATATATTTTTCCAAAGATTTCTCTATTTATCCATAGTTTCTGCTCTTATTTCTTGTGCATTTTTGCATCCGCTGCTCCTTTGGACACCCTTCGATACGCCCCACACATGACCTAATCGAACCTGACCTGGCTCGATTCGGCCTGACTTGACTTGACAAGACTTGACCCGATTCGATCTGACCCGACCTGACTGCTTGACCTGTTGGGACCTGTCCTGACCAAACCTGATCGGACCCGACGTTGTTTGTCCAGTGAAGGGGAAATGCTTTAAACACCCCCCGCGCTTGGATCTATGCGCAAGGGAGTGAGACTCCTCCTCACTAAAACTCCTCCTTCTTCCCATCACGTTCGGAACCGGTTGTTAGTCATTTCTTCAAGGAGCGACGGTACTTGACCTGATGAACACAAGGAACTTCTACCTTCGTTTTTTCGTGTCATAACCGTCTTTATATATCTTTTCTTCTGATGTTTTCGTGATATATTGTATTGTTACACAATATGTGTACAAAAAAAGATTAATATTATGTTAAGATGTAATAGTTGTAGGTAAAATTTGGGGCCACTATATTTTGCGAACTTATGCTATAGGTATGATGATGAACAGTCACAGCCCCTCGACGAGTACCCCCTTGGAGCCCTGCCGAGTGGTCCCTTACATGAACGTGCCTGCACTGCGTGGCCTGACTTTAACTCCAGGATCGGTGGCGTTATCCAATTACGACCGCTTGTCCTCTGCAACGTTTTCCCAACCGGGAACGGCGTTTTCCGCTTTCGATCCTGCATTCATCACAGCTGCACACCAGGTAATCAGATTGCGAAGTTGTAGCTGATTAAATGGAACAATCGTAGCAGCTAGTTTGACCGGTTTATTAAATCCGTGCAATAAACCGGTTTGCCGGCGCTCAACCGGTTTATCGGTGTAATAACCTGTTGTGGTTTCAGTACGCCGCTGCCGCCGTGGCCGTGGGCGGAGGTCCCGCCAGCATCTTGTGCCACCCCCAGTATCCCTTAGGGTTCGCGGCGTTGGCGGCGGCTCACAAGAACTCGAGCATCGCCGACCTGAGACTGAAGGCGAGGAAGCACGCGGAGGCCCTGGGACTGACATCGGAGAAGTCGACATAATCGGGGTTCCGATACAATCATGTATATAGTACTTAGATTACAAACTGACTCAATGTAATGATTTTGGTCGCTTAAATTTGTTTAGACATTGAAAAATTCTAAAATGTTGAGGTGTTTCGAAATTACGGCAGTAATTTTCTATAAGAAACTATATTTATAATTCTAAGTCTAAGATTTATAAAGTCTGTACATAACGTCTGTAAATTTATTTGTACAAGTACATAGTGTTATATTAAATATAAAAGTATACCTGCAAGTATTGAGTTTTTGTCGGGGGATCGGAGCTTTATGGAAAGTGACAGCTGCCTTAATTAGCGATAAACCGGAGTGGTTAGAAAAGTGGGAAACAACGTAGACGTTTGAAGATATATCCAATATTTCCAGATAGATAATATGAAACGACAGCGGTGTTGTATTATTGGTTTACGATATATTGGATTAATGTGGGTCCGCTTGTCACGAGCAATTACAAGCTTTCTGCTCGTTGATTGGGCATAATGAGGTTAGTGGCTGTACAGTGGTACTACAAACAAGGGTCAGCGATTTTAGGGGAGCAGCAGCTCAGATGAGATATTCGAATCAAATGAAACTCTTATCGACTGACGCTTTAAAGTTTCGCTCTTCACTTTGTAGACATTTAACTTTGTGCTGCTGCCACCATTTAAACATCTTTAAAAATATAAGTCATTCTATATTTAGATTTAACAATAATAGTATCTTCATCTTCAAGTGATTTGTGGTAAGAACTTGAACAGTCTCCGCTAAGTCGGTTTTTTCTTTACAGAAAACTGAGATCTTCTAGGTATTCTCTACACAATTAAAAAGTTACAGGTTTCAGACTTGCTTTATGATTTATAGAATTGTAGAAAATTAAAAAAAAATAAGAGAGTTTTTTTGAAAATATCAGTTTGTTTTGACTACAGTTTAAAATAAAATCCCTGAATTAAATTTTGAAATCTTTGAAAGTTTTATCTCTCAACTGTATAAAAATTGGTTGCACCATACTTTCTTAGCGTATAGGGGAACTCCGGTGATACTCACAGATTTTGCTGAGTGAGATACGATTTTATCAATAGCTCAGATTGAACAGAAATATAGCACGCAATGCCATCTCAACCATAGCATAAGTATTTGTTGTCACAAATGCAGCTATCTTTTGTTCGAAAGAACCTGCAATTTTGTCCCTGGTAACCCAAAGTGAGCAAATCTTAGCAGAAAACACCCACAATATCTTGCTTCTGTGGTCCCGAAAACAGAATGTTGTATTTGTATTTTAGTGCCCCCTAGTGGCGATTTGCTAAAAGAGCTTCTCATAAATCAATACAGACGAAATTTGTTCTTCTTTCTAATACCTAAATGCTCGGTTATGCCCCCTTTTTAGCACTAAATAGGGTGAGGGACGAAGCTGGGGGAAGGGGGTTCTCTGGGGTGCCATCTGTACGCTGATAGGAAAGACGTAAGGTAAAAGCAACCCTTATTGAATTTTAAAGGGAGCTTTAAATACAGAACTTTACTTTTTGCAGAAAAGAATACTAAGTATATTTTACAGAAAACAACCTTTTTGGTAGTATTCTTTTTTGTAGAAATTAAAGTTCTGTAATTTAGTTTATAATATAATTTCGCTTCTCCTATCAGAACGCAGGTGGCAACCCAGTAGCCCCCTCCCCCCCAGCTTCGTCCCTCGTCTAAAATGGTGTTAAAAAGGGGGCGTAACCTGAGGAAAAATAGCATTTGTATGTATTGATTTAAGCGAAGCTACATCTCTAAGACAAAAGAAAACTTGAATTTCTTCCTAGAAGACTGCTATATTTATAAAGACAAATATAGAACTCTTATCTACTATTACCAGTGTAATTGTCGGCTATTGACAATTTAGATATCTACTGTTGCCTATTTAATTAACTAACTTCGTAAAATATCTGTGATAACCTTCGGTAGACAGTTAAACTAATAACTGATGTTAAATTGATGACAGTTGACACTGTTGACAGTAACACATACTAACTCGTTTTTAACTTATTTGGCCCTTAGAAGTGTTCATATCATAAAACATATTATTACGAAGAGTTCTAGATTTGTCTTTACAAAATATTTATGTAGTATTCTCCTTTGGAGAAATCAAAGTTCTCTATTTGCTTTATTCCTGTAGCTTTGCTGAAATCAATATGAACAACGACTGCGCTAAATTACAAAACTTTAATTTTTATAGGGAAGTATACTACTGTAAAGGCTGTTTTCTGTAAATATAGTATTCTTCTAAAATACAGCATTCTTTTAAAATACAGTATTCTTCTAAAATATAGTATTCTTTTCTGCAAAAAGTAAAGTTCTGTATTCAAAGCTCCCATTAAAATTCATTAAGGGTTACTTTTTTACCTTACTTTCTCCTATCAGTGTACAGATGGCAGGCCACTGAACTCCCTCCCCCAGCCTCGTCCCTCACCTTAACTGGAGTTAAAAACGGGGCGTAACCTATCATTTAGGTGCTATAGAGGAAAACACCTATAGTCTGTATTGATTTAAGCAAAGTCCTTTTAGTACTTCGCCACCAGAAGGCGCTACAAAAAACAAATATAGTATTAAAATTTTCTGTCACCGTTTACGCTGAATAATGTGTAAAAGTATTCTTGTTCTAAAATCTTAGCTTGCAGAAGGCCCTACCTTATGCTTAATTGCTTAAACTAGCTTGGATTATAATTTTATCTACCATTTCTTGGTTTTCACAGTTTTACAGGTCGCATAAGGGACGAGTAACAAACTGTTATCCTATTATCTATTAGTTTTCTTTTTAGAAATTCCAAAATAATAGTGTGAATAATTGGTAAATGTGACGTTCTTCTTTGTAGAAATTATAGTTCCCTACTTGCTTTATTCCTGCAGCTTCGTTGAAATCAATACGAACAACGATTATTTTTTCATCAGGTTACGCCCCCTTTTTAACACCATTTCGGGTGAGGTACGAGGCTGGGGGGAGAGGGATTACCGGTTTGCCATCTATGCACTAAGCTACAAAACTTTCATTTTTATAAAGAAGTATACTACTGCAAAGGCTGTTTTCTAAAAATATAGTATTCTTCTAAAATATAGTATTCTTTTCTGCAAAAAGTAAAGTTCTGTATTTAAAGCTCCCATTAAAATTCATTAAGGGTTACTTTTTTACCTTATTTTCTCCTATCAACGTACAGATGGCACCCCACTGAACCCCCTCCCCCAGCCTCGTCCCTCACCCTAACTGGAGTTAAAAAGGGGGCGTAACCTCGCATTTAAGCATTGGAAGGAAGCACAACTTTCGTGAGTATTGATTTAACAGAACCTCTTTTAACAATTTTCCACCAGAAGGCGCTATACGATATGAATACAGCATTAAAGTTTTCTACCTTGTGGACCGCGAAAGCAAGATATTTTGAATGGTTTCTGCTAAGATCTACTCACTTTCAACAACCGGTGGAAAAGCAGAGACAAATAAAAGACAGGAATTCGTACCTACCTGCTTTGGTCATAGAGGTCAGTTGTCATGGTCCTTTTCCCTTTTTTGTTTCGATTCAAAGAGGATACGTCAGAAGCATGCTGAATGTATGTAGAACTTGCAGTGACAAGTATGAATGCAACAAAAAGGACGATTGCCCTTCACACACCAACTATGTTTCTCACTTATTTGTGTTCAATTGGAGAAGCTAACTTGTTTTTTGGTGAATAACTTCCTTAGCGAGAAAATTTACATAAACAATTATTTATACAACAACTACTGCTATAACAATAGTACTACTCTTCTTCGGAGCTTGTGGACTTTTTTATTGATGTTAGACTTTATGTTTGAAGTTTGCACACAAAAGATGTTTGTATACAAAAAGTGTTACAGTGGACTGTTATCTACTCCAAGAACAGGATTGTAACAAAACGTTGGTATATAGTTGGACGGTCGCTGTACCATTCACTTGATTGTAGCTTGTAGATTTCTGCACAGTGAACAATGTTTTAGTACACATAGTCTGTACTAGTGCATCCGCAATAAAGAAAATCTTCGAGACCAATTTATCACATCCAGGAAACACCGCACAATGCATTGTGCAGCATTTGTGGTAACACTCTGTTTCGGATAATATTAAACGCGTCGTTTATCCCTGGACTACCAGGATTTTTGACACCCGTTGGATCTAGCTCCTCAAATAAAGCAAACTATACTAAAACTGCTATTATGTTGATAATGTAACCACTAAGAATAAAATTATGCAAATTAGTAGTAGTTCTAGGTAAACATAAGCATAACATAACTCGTAATGAAATTCATCAACAAGGGTAGCCAAGAAGGTAAATGTAGATTCGGATGATGTGACCTGCGGGCGAAGATGTGTGTTTAAAGCTTTAGAATACAATTCCCATAAGGTGAACAATAGACGATCCTCTTCCCTTTTCCACAGAATCACAGATGTTGATGGTTTGACTAATAAAATTATCCTGAAACGAGTGTTTTACTACTCTCCTTAAGCCAGTCAAAATAGTTAAAGAGTTGCTTTACGCAGTACTTTATTGTTTTAGCTTCCAACTTAAACGACTCATTTTAGCGCGCAGGCGCAAACTCAGTCAGACGTCAAGTAGAATTCAGCGATTTATTACTTTGCTTATAGGTTTATAGTTTGGGGGACCGTGGTTACGTGGAAGGATGAAAGGAGAGTCGTTCGTAAGTACAAATATTTATTTGGTCATATATTACAATAAAATCTAAAACAGAAATATCTAAATAGCGTTCTAATTTTGAAGCTTATATTGTTACATTATTTTCTATTATTGCTAATATATACATAATAAATTTAAACGATCTACTTTGTAAACAAATACCGGATATATTTTATTTAAACAAACACAACAGAATACAATTACGCTGTTTGATTCCTAAAGATATAGAAAATGTTATGGCGGAGTTTTACATTAGAGTTTAAAAACAAGTACTGGAGCACATTGGATGTTATTTATACACAACATATTACATTTATAATGAAATAAATACACACATGTGGTTAATTCCATTACATTTGTTAGGCCGTGAATGAAATGAATATATCCCGCAAAGTATAATTTACACATAGGAAAATGCATTACTTATACAATGATTAATAATAATAATAGTAACCACGGTAAATTGAACGGATGTCTGTATTGTTCTCGATCACAGAATTAAATTCAGGGTGTACAGTAGATAGAAAAATATAAGTAATGCATTTCGGGTTACACGACTAAGCGATACGAAAGTGGTATGGTCTATGTCTGAAATCGTGGCGCAGCGGTTTATTACCGGTTTTGTAGTGATATGCAATATTAATGAGACTTAGTCTAAGCTGAGGGCTGCGTCGATTATTAATTCACATTAAGTTTGTATGTGACGATTAGTTGAACAATTTGGTAAATAAAACAGTTGGGGGATGATCGCGCGATGAGCGCTTTTATCGATTAGGTAGGTAGTTATTTATGTCTAGTAGCTAATTTTGAAAAATGAAAAATGAATTAGCCTAAATTAAATATATATATATACAACCATGGATTGAAACAGTCAATATTATAGTAACGTGTATATATATATAGACATATTACGTTTATAATAATATACGGGTAGATGACATGAAAGATGGAAGATACACTTATTAAAAAAATATATTTTTAGAAGTTTATACAGCTCTACTAATTGTGGGTATACAGGAATGGACTTCTAGCCAATAAAATCAGGAGAAAGAAAATCGTGAAAGAATCGCTATATTGCGTGAGGCGAAAAGTTAATGTTAATATTTGTCAGTGCTGGTAAAAATCAAATAACGTAGCAGTAAATCTTGCAAAATATCTGATTTCGACTAGAATGGAGTATCGGAGTTAAAAATTACAACTACTTAAGCTTTGTCATGGTATACTTCGAAATGGAGTGATTTACGTAGATCTTAATGAAAAATGAGTCGGAAAATAAAGTCGGGAATATAGGGCCTGGATTTTAAGAATGTAAAAGAACGTGCTTTGAGAAGACCTTTTCGATCTATTTTGTTTTGTGACTTTATATAAGGTCGGGAATAACATATCCGACGTGATCGATTGTGGCCAGTAAAGGCTCAGCCCGCAAAATTTGATTCCTCCTACGTTCGGTCCCGATTATCAAACACATGAATTTTAAGTGTGCACATATATGGAATGGATTGATAGAGATATTAGAAACATCGTATTGGTGTAATAAATAATGGTAATAAATCAGACAGCCACAACATACGATATAGGCCAGCTGTACTTTTCATCTATGACAACAAGTTAACAGCAACAACTATGTACATCAGAATTATACAAACAAATTATGATATACGTGTTGGACATACAACAATAACTGGTCATTCGCTGATATTTACATGGCCACAGTGTTTCCATTATCAAATTGATAAACATTTATCGTTGATATAATAGACTGGATTACTGGATCGTTGCAATTCACCTTTCTAGTACGAAGCACTGCAGAAATATAACGAGCACAAAATCTATCGTCCAGCAAATAGCGGTGCTGCTATTGTTTCCGTGCTGCATGGCTGCCGGTTGTTCCCCGTTAAGAACATGCACAAGAACGCTAGCGGCATCGCTGCTAGAGGGAGAGCATGTGTAGTTGCCACTGTCTTGGGGCAGAGCTCTGGAAATCAACAAACGACTTGTTCGTGTTTGCTTCTCGGTGACTACGCTTATGCCACCACGCTGTGAATAGTTAATCACGTTTCCTCCCCGATACCAGTAGATGAAACTTGGCGGATCCGGCGTCTGCAGAACTATGCATGTTAAGTTTATGTCACTCCCGCTTCTGATGTACAATTCGGGGTTACCAACTATTTTGGCCTTCGACACTGAAAACAACAAATATATTATATAACCACAAACAAATACACTACTCTTCTTATATCCTAGATCATTTCGTAAAATCTATTAAACAAAAACGACCGAACAACACAATAATTTTGAGTCCAATAAAATAAGACTATTGAAAGTGTGGAATAGGACCAGCGTCTGCGTTGAACTCTGTTTCTTATCGTTAAATCTTTCGAGACGTTCTAAGGTGTCTAGAAGTAGCGGTCGTTACCTGCGTGCGTGTCCGACAATTACAAAATTATCCATCTTTGTATTCAAATTAGGATTTACATAAAGTTAGTGATGTAGATAAATTGAAACGTTCTATTTCCTCATCGCGCCGTTCGAGAAGAAACGCTAAATGTGAGAGAGTGTTTTACGCTATCCTCAAGCACGTAGGGTGGAATTAGAGCATGAGCGGAACTTGAAACTTTATTACTCACCTACAACGTTCAGTTTGAACGCTTGGCTAATTTTAGGTTCGGTACTGACTTGACATTCGTAGATGCCGGAATCTCTAGTTTGAGGGGACGTCACCTTTAGCGTCCACTCGTCGGAACCATCTGTGTGCAACGACTGAAATCTCTGATCGTTGGTGTAAGTTAGAATTCCAACAGTTAGAATGTGCAAATCCCGCTTGCGGATCCACGACACCTGCAAATCAACCAAACTTATCAAAACAACGCGTCGTACTGTAAATTTTAATATATATCTCGCGAAATTGTTTGACTACATATATAATGCACCAGATGCATCGCGCTTCCTATATTAGATTTGTAATATTTTCAATCGATTGGCCCAAATAGAAAGCTGGAAGTAAAATATAGTGCAATATCGTAAGGACACACCCGAGGTGATCTGACGTCGTATTTACGTTATCACCTTTAGTGTGAGCCCGGTTTATATGCAGCAGTCGTTGCATAATGTACGTCAGTCTACCTGTCATATTTACATATAGCGAAAAACGTACTCGTCACCAGAATTTATACATTTAAACGTAACGTCGTCAAATGGTGAACAGGGACGTATTTGTTCCATATCGTAATCAGTTTAAACTTTCAATATCACATACCTAACAAATAAAGTGTTAGAAATTGATGCCAAAGAGGTTGTTCTAGCAGTGCTAGCCTAAATAACACTAACAGACTATAACATTTTATTAGTAGAGGAAAGTAGTCTCGGGTGAGGGTCGAAAATTTTAATGTGAAATGGGAGAACAAAAGTACTTCTGATGAAGACTGTAAAGCAACAACGCGTTGAAATGAAAGTGGACGCAAATTCGAACTTCCAATGTCATCAACAAAACTGTTTCAAGATGTTGAAAAATGGTGTCGCGAAGTAAAAATCCGTTCGTCAGTTTGCTGTGTGAAGTAAATTGGTTTGTACAGCTAAGGTCACGTCAGTCTCAACGCATTCGTTTTAAATCTTGATTTTTGAGGTAGAAACGAAGCGAATTATGTAGTGAAACATGTTAAAATATTGATAAAACCATTTCTGTCCATATTTATAACAAGTGATTTTCTATTTTCGATAATGAAGCTGTGAGTCGGACTAATGAAGGATTAGCTCCGATCTTTTTTAACTGATTACAAGTTCTACATTAATTCGAAGAATACTTGAAAAGTTGCTTCTCGAGTAGGTACGAACGGTGAGGCAGCAATAATCCGGAAAAAATAAAATATCGAGCATTAACTTCTGTATCTAGAAATCCACGTATGATTTTCCCACGTTCCATGTTTTGTTTCTGAGAGAATTATGAAGACGTTTTACTCAAATGAGATGTAATTAGTTGAAATGAAATTTGTATTTCACGCTTGTTATTCTGTGTCTCTTTTACGACTTTTGCTTTGAAGTTGCCCTCGGATTTCATTAAATGTTTTATCTATCACTATCCAGCGAGTGGATACTTTGTTTAAGTAAGATGGCGTCTTCCCGAAAAAGGTACGTCTAAATGTTATTAAAAGCTTGTATTGACCTTTATTGATGAAAGATGAAGCTGGAGGGCTAGAATTTGATGAAATTGGTCCGAACAGGGGGTGGCGATTGACTTGTGTTATTTTGAAGCGGCGAAGAGTCGGTAGTAATCACATTGATGTAAAAAATGTAGTCGGGAAATCCTGCGAATGAAGAAAAAGGGACAGAAAAGTGTCCGCTTAACCTTTGTTTTAAATCAAGAGGGTAATATGAATTCCTATTTTGAGGGTCACATTGTGGAGCAATCGTCAATCAACATGAAATATTATCGTACATCTACAAATCTGGTAAAAATATTCGAATTTAAAAGCGGATATTGGTTCTCCTCTTGTAATGTCTATTCAGACGGAATAGCTCTTGTTACCTAACGACTTAGATTGTTACTGGTTTGTAAATCCGCTTTGTCATAAATATGTTTCTTCTAATCGGTCATGACGCGTTTCTCCTTTTAGTTTACATGTTTCAAGTGAGTATCCCTTTGATGTATTTTAGTGTCGGGAAGATTAATCGGAGTCACGAATTATCGATTTAAAAAGTTTCATCGCTGGAGCAGCGGCGGATCATTACCTACTAGTTTTAGCAAAACTAACACTTTTAATACCATTTATGTCTAAGTTTATGATGCTGGTAATATTTCATTCACGGTAAAAAGAGTACGATCGATTCTATTTTGCGATCAAGACGGCTGCGTCCTCTTCAAAACTGATCAATCAGAGCCGAGTTTTCTCTAAATGTTAAGCACGACTTGCAGAACAACAACGTTAATTACACTTTTTGGCAAAGCGTCACACTGGTAAGCCGGTTGGTTGGATTTCCGGTCAAGCCTCAGCACCTTGCACCAGGATGTCCTGTCCCTCGGAGGTGGCACAAAAATCTGGACACGTTGTTTCTGACACAAATCTGAGCGATTTAATTAGTGGAAGATGAAGTTTAGTTTGACGTGAAGGGTTAAAGTTGGCTCGTGTTGTTGTAAGCTTGTGGTTAATGGAGGATGTAGAACATTTTTCATGTGTTTGTCTGTGTGACGAGCCGGCGCTGCTCTCGCGAGCATTGTATTGAAACAAACTTTTAAATGTGATTCTTGCAGGAATGATCACAGTGATTGTGATTTATTGTCATGGGATGTGTTTGCTGAACTATGGCTGTAGTCAGATGTAGAGTAAATAATAGTAGGTACTCTTTAAAATATTCGAGTCGCTGTTTCCTGGAGAAATATGTTTCTCGAATCAGAAGAGAGCACATAAGAGAGATATTGTTGCCGGCTTGTATTCTTTGTCTACATGTTTCCAGCGGCCCATTCAAGTGGAGTACTTCCAGCTTTGTCTTTATCTTTTAATGACCCCCGAGATATAAAATGCTAATTTTGACGTTTGCAACTCGGGGACGGTCAGACGATCCGTTTAACCGAGTTAGCAGCCGTAATATTGTCAGAAATAAAGTAAGTTTGCCGTGTAATTTTAGACACATCGGTGAGCGTTATTGAGTTGTGCGAAGTTGTTAGTGTGGCCGTAGTTAGCGCAGCACATATGTAACGTGATATTTTAGTTTGCTGGGATTACGATATGGATTATGCGGTTGGCAAAAAGTCGGGGCATGGGTTAAAGGGCAAATTGCAGCGGCGCGATAATTAAAGTGCGGAGATCACCGGCAACTAGGTAAATTGCAAATGATATACAATAAGATTTACTTACAGCTCTGTCTCCCAGGTTTCTGACTCTACAATGCAAATGAGCTGTTTGGCCCACTGTAGTTGTGACCTCCCTGCGAGTTGTATTGTCAAAGTACGGTTGAGAAAATGGCTGCTCCCAGTACGGACTGTTATGCTCCGAGCCGCCTTCTGCACAATCTGCAACAAAAATAAATATTTAAGCGGGTGCAGTCATGTTGGATGTAATCTGCATACACACAAATCAGTCCATCTGGACCATTAACTCTGGAACTGGAGTCTCCGGTCAACACTCGCTGCCGCGGTAGCCAATTTATTTTTCAAATTTTACTGCATCATTAAACATTTAAATTTACCTCTATGAGGGCGATACACCGACCTGTTCATTAACGTGTTGAAAAACATTCGCTTTATCTTTATTATTTATGTGCACGATAAGACACAGGAAAAAGAATTCACAAAGTTTCTCCGCCGGATTTGAATCTTCCATCACGACAGAACCGCACTCGATCCTCAAACCGGCAGCAAAGGAATTTTCCACCTATTAAACGAAGATATTAATGTCGTCTGCTTGCTGACAATTACTAAAATTACTTTGTTTCATTTGACCAATTTCCGACGGACGAATACGCGTCAGACTATAACATAAATATAAAAGTAATAAAAAATATGTATAATGTATTTTTTAATCATCATTGGGTTCCGGTGTCTTTCGGTAAAGTCCGCCCCTGAGATTATGTACCACCGTGTAAAACTAGAAATGTTCGTGACTTATACGATTGATTCGAGAGATTGCTAACGTGACTTGATTTTGGCCTTTCTTTTCTTTATCACTTACAGCAATCCAATTATTAGATACACAATACAATTATTATACGTTGCCGCAACTTTTACACTTTTTCCAGATTACACCCTCAGGATCCCACTATCTACAAACGTAAATCTACGAACCGCTCCTGTCCAAATCAAATAACGCTTTATCTTAAGGAACAAAAGTAGCAAGAATCTTTAATTGCCTAATTAGTCACGTGCGTTGACGTTGACTTAACGTTGTTGTGGCTCCTTAATGAGAGAGATAATAAATTTTACAAGTGTGACGTATTGATCTGCTTCTTTGATCTCGAAATGTACTATCCCTGACTGGGTATACGAAATAATACAAGGTTCCCAATGGTCGAATTTTAACCGTGAAAAACGACTTCTTACCAACGTTACGATACGCAATGGCCGAACCCTTTCTTCAAGATTAATTTACATTAGTACTTCAGCGAAAATAATTGAATCTCAAGACGTGTTTACTCCAACAATGTATGAATATCGCAATATCTCTGTCATTTCGTATCTTACAGTTTAAAACTTTTGTCAGTCACAACAGAAACTAATTCCTGTCTCGATGAACACGTATTGCATTTTTATATTAGATACTGTTGAACGAAGGTAATAGGAAAGTTGTCTGCATTTTATTTCCGACATAATAACATTTTATACATAACTATGCGCAACAAGAATTCAAATTATGCAATATTCCTAATTAAAGTGCACCCGATACAAGATTTCGCCTTCCCAGGCTTACTAACTTCATTACCTTCTCATAATTTGCTTACACAAAAACGTTCATTTTCTCACGTAATCATAAATTAATGGCCGTTGTTGCAAAATCTGTTTTCATTATTTTGACTATCGTATCCTGATTTCATCTAAAGCGGCAACACTATAACGACTTTATGTTTCAATTTGCTGTTTGAGCCATTACTCAGTTTTAAAGAGTTCGGAAACGACACGAGAGTGACGCCTTCTACGGGGACCGTTGCTCGGGCGCCAGCTCCCTCTCCCCTGACAACTCGATGGGTCCTTCCACATCAAGTTAACCGTACCTTCAGCCAATCCGTCGCAACAAACTTCGAGGGACCACACCTTGTAATTCTTGAATTTCGGGCTACCAACTAGGGTTTTGTCTTAGAAGGGATCAGGATATCAATTTAGTGGCTCTGTGGAAGGTGGAGTGTGACGAGACAACGGTTTTGGTACTACGTCTTGTGAGTACCCTTCAGAAACATTCCCGGGCTCTTCTCGAACTGGCCTCTGAGGTTCATATTGGGGCCCTTCGCATTTGTATCACAGTTCTGGCCCACTTTGACCTCATGCGCTACTTTTTGTCGAACCTGTACTTGTTGTCACGTGTTGACAGAAAGTAGTGCCGCTTCTGGGTGAGGTAGTTCTATTTATTAATGAGTCTCCTTAGAAAAATTTATGTTAACTTTCCCACGCAGGAATGCGCTGTACGGCATCGGGCACGTCAGTTTCAACTCAAAAGAGAGTGAAAAGATACTGATGTCCTAGGAGACTGTACCTTCAATGAAGGAAGTAGTTTGTGTAGTATGATTTATTGAGGGTAGTTCTCGGGGCTACAAGCGTTTATCGGACTTCAGTTGGCTGAACTCGAGTGGTATGAAAAGCTTCTCAAAGAGTCATTCGATTCTTAATACCTATCGGTAACACAACAATGTGGATTTTATTTAACGCGTACAATATTGAAAATGAGCTTTACTCTGTAGAAATATGTGGCGAAGAATTTGAGACCGAGCGGTGTTTTTCGTGAGAGGTATTTTAAGACCAACCGTTAATTATAGAAGGGATTTTTAATGGATTGTGTGTAAAAGGGCATCACTGAAGTAGAACAGAAGAGGTGGTTTTGTGTCTGAGTGTGCGGTGCACTTTGCCGAAGAGCTTAAATAAAATTAAATAGCACACAATAGCGAAAAGTAATGCTTTGGATTCTTTGGCAGGCTTGGATTTTTCAACGTCTATAACGTTGCAATCTAAGCTTCCCTCGTCCTTAATTTAACAATCTCGAAGAAAATTCGTCCTCTTTCATTGGAAAAGAAAAGCAGAATTTATCCTTGAAGCATTCTGTCGGTGAATAGGTGTAGAAACAAGAAATCTTGGTGTTCACCAATCACATTCGTATTTCTGAACTAGCAGAGCGTTCAACGTTATCCTTTAATTAGTTGAATTAGAGCTATTATTGAATTGGTTACTTACATCAAGGGGAAAGTTTACGTCCGGCTGCGCAGCTGGCAATTGATTGGAAAATCGAGAAGTGATTGTGAAAATATTTAGCCTGGTGTCTTACGATACTCACACCCTAGAAAATATTTGCGAATTTTGCAAGTTTAATAAAAGTGCGTCGCTGTTGACAGATAGAGAAAACTTCCTTGCTAATTAAGATAAATATTTTCGTATTTGCTGCGTAACTCTTCTCCACAGTGTGTACTTAATTCGGGGGAAACGTCTGCCGAAAATCTTATCTTCCGTTAGACTTAAACGTCGAAGTTATTAAAGTTGCTATTATAAATGTAATAACAAAGGACCTCATCCGGCACATAGAGGATAAGTGGGGATCATTGCTCCTCTGTGATATTTCTTCAGACCTAAATACCTTGGACAATAAAATGATTTAATCAAGTCTCTCTGCTTTACGAACTCCACTAATATTAAACGACACAGTTCCTCCTGCTCAAGACATTGATTAAACAAACTACTATATTTTTCTTAGCCGTCTTTGAAAATATCCTTTTACTTCGCACGCTCTCCCTTCTTACATAATTGCAAACTTGCGTTATTAATCAAATCAGCGGTAGCGATGTACAATACAACCCAAATACGAATCATCAGAATTGCTTACGCTTAACACAATATAGTAAACATATCAATTTGAATCGTTGCCATGGTTACCTGCCAACAAGTATCTATATGGTTATAGTTCACAAATGAACACTCCAAGGGTTCTCACACACAATAGACCTAAATCGCCGGATTTGCGTCCGAATATTTCCGATACAATTAATTCAAACAATCGTCAGTAAAAAAACTCAAATGCTATTACAAAGAGCAAATAATACACAAAGCCGGCTAAATAGACCGAACCAAAACAGGAATTAAAGTACAGTCTTGGATTAAAAATAGAGAAATATGGAACATATTTTTAGTAGAAAATATAATAATAAAACAACAATGTGATGAGCAGCGACTCTTTTATACTTCAATGGGATGATGGTGCAAGCTAGTGGGATGAATTCGTTCTAAACGAGAGAGAATTTAACGACAAAGTTTCTATAAGGGAGCTTCATACAGTCGCTGTAGTAATCGGGATGTCAAATTTTATTTTTATAGAAAGTAAAGCTCTGGACCAGATGACATTTTGAACAGGAAACAAAATTCGCTTCAATTTTCACAGTGCACTTTCAGCGATATTTTGACCAAATTAGAGAAACGTTGAAGAGCTATTGTTTGGAGTCATTTTTCTTTTTCAACGTATGTATGAATATTTTAAAGCAAACTCAACACACTATCAGGTTGATCAGAGGGTGCACTTGTCACAGGAATGAAATAACGCAAAACTTAATTTGCCAAGAAACAATAAATCATCAGAGATAAAAATTCAGTTGACAGATACTTGCATGAAATAGAACATTTTTCAATTCAACAGACAGTGTTTTCAACAGAATATTTTTTGCTTCTATTTGTGTTGTCCCATTTACAATGAACTTCTTATGCAATAAATTGAAGGATTAAAAAGTTAAAATCGCTTGGTGTCTAAAACAATTTATGAATATTGAATCTGACAATATTTCCCCATGTAAAATATTACGAAAGTTGCGAAGTTGTAGGTTTGAGATGTATTTCAATCGGGTGGTGCGTTTTAGCCTTGAAATTTCCTTTAATAGTTACTATTTAATATGTTCGAGGTATAAAATCCCTGCGCTACAAATTTAAATACATACTTAAGCCTCCCTGTGAGTGCTAGAGTTCGTTTCCTGTTAGATATGTAAATACGAATTTATATTCAAGTTGCAAACTTGAAAAAACATGACCTGCTACAAAACAATTTGCTTAGGGAATTTTGACAAGTGAAGTTTATAACTCCACATGTCTACCGAAGCGCGAAGTTGAGCCGAGTTCGTCCCGGAAAGCAGAAAAAATGACGCCGAACTTGCATAAATTGTAATTATTCGGGAACTTTCGTTTTCGATTCGGAGCTAGTTTTCCGGAAGAAAGTTGAGAAGTTGGATCACATATGGCTAGATTTTTAAATCAGATTTAGGTTAAAACTCTGCAGGACAGTGGGAGTTGTGATGTCCCACATGGGTACATTTAAACCAGATTCGGACCGAAGTTCA